TGCACATTTGGGCGGCATTATGCAAATATTTCCACATAGTGAGGTAGATATGTGGGGGCATGTTAGAACTAGCCGTTTTAGGAGGGCGTGGCAGAGTCTTAACTTTGATAAAGAATATCTCTTTGGTTTTGAGACTTTAGTCTTTGCAACTTCAGGGATCTTATCTATGTACAATCAGCTTGTAACACTCCAAAGAGAAAGGAAAACTTGAAATCGCATCATATGACCCCTTTAAATAAGGGAGACATGCAAAATGTGCAGACTGTTGGGTCCCCAGGACCAGGATTGAAAACCATTGCACTGCATGGTCTTAGGTAGATTTGGTCTTACAACCAGTCTGGTTGCAGGAGTGTCCTTACCCAGGTATTAAGGGCTATTGAGCTGCTAAAATTTTCTGTGCCTCCAGGCACTAAGCTCTTCAGTGTCGGCATGCCTGGGTGTCACGTCTTGCTTCAGATTGTCATGAGAGTGACAGTGTAAAGATGCTTTGGGAGTTTCTGCCTGCTTTCCTGTGATTTAAAATATATAATAAAAGTATATAAAACTATAAATAAAAAAACCTGAAAATATATGCTGTATACGGTTGAGCAAATAATTGAAAGGTTCTTTAGAGTGGATTCTTTTAAATGAATCTGGATAACCAGTTTAAAAAGAGATCAATCGGTGTTTCTGAATATCACACAATGGTTTTTCACTGGAAACTCTACAGAGAAGATGCTGTTAGTGTCTTTAGCCTGTGTTTTTGGACCTAAATTATTTTGATGCTTTTTTGTCTTTAACATCACAAAATGTTGATTAAGTCATGTGCAATTTATATATATCAAAAGGCTCCCGCCATCCTGGAAAATTGTTTATATTTCAATTATTTAGGCTGGCCCTTGTCAAAAAACTGTTCTTATGTCTCTGTATTGTAAGCCTCCATATTCTTGGATTTACATTTGGCTTGGGCCCTTTCATTGTAAATCCTTGAGATTTTAAAAAATCTGTTTTATCATCTACAAGGAAAAATCTGTTTGTTCACATCCATAACCCAATGTACAATAACTATAAAGATTCTTGTTGCTGCAGTACATACTAGGAAAATGCTGGACATCTCTTATATGTGTTTTATTATTACTGAGCCATTGACAAAACAAGCAAGTTATTTTCTATACATGAGATTAGGTGAATTCAGGTAATTTTTAGTGTTCGCAAGGTCAGTGTCTGCAGATCTTCTTACCACGGAGAATGTTTCCTTTCTGCACCACTGATCCCAAAGGCAAATGTTTGCCAGCTTGTTTGGATTGTATTCAAGATTTGCTTTACTGGATTTGATTTGCATTGTCGTCCTCGGAAAAACAATCAGTTGGGTCTGTAAAACAGGGTACTTGAGAGAAAGTCAGAAGGTGACAAGTTTTAAGGTATATCTGAGTCCTAAATATATTGTGATCATGATTTTTGTTATACTTTGATTTTCTCAAAGGTAATAATGAATAAATTTGCTAATTTTCTGTGTTTAATATTATATTAAAATTATAAGCCTAGAGCAGTTTTCACATTTCGATTCTTGTCTGAATCTCAAACACCATGAACTTTTGATACACATTGGAAGTATTTGATTTCATCTATGCTGAGTTAATCAGAAACTGTTTTGAAGGATTACAGTAGAACTAATGAAAACAAATTGTATTTGGGGACCACTACATTAACCAAACTGGGGAGCGCATGCAAAAATAATTAATGCCATATTTCTCTGCCCACAGTTTCTTTCTTAGAAATATTAAGAGGTTTCTTTGATTGGTTAAATGCACCTGTTTTGTTTGTTCTGTCTGTAAAGGTGTGCAGTGATTGGTCACATCATCACACTCATTTGTCATTGGCTGTATGTCAGGTTAAGTAAGAGAGAGTCAGAGTCATCATGCACAGTTCTGTCCTCAATTGAGAGAACCTCTTCAGTAGATGAAGATGAAGACGACACTCGCTGTGCTCCTAATCATGGAGCTCTACGGACTCTCCTCTGGTCTCAAACAACATTTCTTTGTGAATGAGAATAAGAAATGGTGTAGTGCACAACAGCACTGCAAAACTTATTTTCATGTCCTTTCCACCTTCGTCAATGACTCTGAGGAACAGCAATTTTTAGCTAATGCATCTACTCAAATGTTTAATGCCTGGGTTGGACTCTACAAAAAGCCCGAAATAGGAGTCTGGAAGTGGACAGGAGGTATAGATGCTGAACAACTTAGCTGGGATACTGATATGGGACAACCAAATAACCTTACCAATGAAAACTGTGGCTTTCTATACAAAAACACTAAGAAATTACATGATGAAACATGCAGTTCGCAACAATACTTTTTCTGTATGACAAACTTCACTCTGGTGCCGCAGATGGAGACCTGGGATGGAGCTCTGGAATACTGCAGAACTCATTATAAAGATCTGGCAAGTCTGAGCACAATGGAAAGAATGAATTCTGCTTTACTGGAAATCACACAGGCTGAAACAGAATATGTGTGGACTGGTCTGCGTTTTCTAGCAGGGGACTGGTTCTGGGTCAATGGAGATAATGTTAACTACACAGCCTGGTATCAGAACGAACAGCCCCAGTGTCCTGCCAGACACCTTCATTGCGGAGCCCTGGACAAGCAAACAAGGGTTTGGACACAAAGAAACTGTGAGGAGAAGTACAGCTTCTTTTGTCAGTAGATGGTATGTCACTTGAACAGCTTTTTCAGGATCCCAGATTGTAACTAGATATATATTGTGCCATTACAATATTTGGGCCAGCTGACATCTTTGTACTGTAACCATCATATGTTATTGAAACTTTTAACAACAACAGTTAAGCATTTTCATTATTAATAAACATCAGCTTTATTGCTAATCTTGTATGTAAACAATCTTTTTATTTTGTTATTTGCCAAGCTGGGTGACAAGTAGAGTGGACTGGTTCAGCAACATTTTCTTCTCATCACTCAAAGCATTCTGTAATCACTCTGCTATTTCCTGCTCTGCACTCACTGGAAAGAAGCCTTGCTCTGGATAGGGGACTACATAGACATTACTTAATTTTTTGTCAAGTTATATGTTAAACTGATAATTTAAATTCTATTGTTGTAACCCCCAAGGATGCATGAATTTTTTTTTTTTTCAAACGATGGTTATTGTTATTATTATTATTGTTACTTTTGAATAAAATGTAATTATGCATCTTTCACCTCTTATGTTTCACAGTGATGTTTTTGAGAGTAAATCTGTCCACTGTACATGTATTTGGGCTTATAATGTAATGTAAAGTAAGTCAATGACCATCATTTTTAATTAGTGTCTCTTTTGAAAATGTTCTTTACAAGACCTTTGGATATTTGAAGAGAGCATTCTGATCATCCTAAATACTAAATATTGGTTGTGCTGGAAGTGTCTCTAACCCCAAAAGCATGTGTTCCAGTTCACAAATGCCACATTTCTCCATTGTGTATCAAGAGCATCAAATGGACATGAGAAAACGCTAGAATTTAGTCCTGGCATCAGAAGCGTGATAAATTCTCCCATGATCAGGGGCTCAATCTATGGTCAGTTTTAGAAATCAGAAATACTGTAAGCTGGATAAGTTAGGTCCATTTAAACTATGCGTATAACATGTTTCAAGCCCTGAAACCTTTTTTGCCCACAAAAAGCTGGTACATTTGACAAATCTCGGCTCTTAAATCATTTAATTAATATTTTGTAATAATACACCATTATGCACAATGCACAGTAAATAATTTTAAATAAAATACATTTTACACTGTATTGGCACTGCACACAATAAAATTGCAAACCATTTTGTCTGCTGGGTCTTGGGAAGAAAAAATATAAATGTGTAGCTGAATTAGATTTCAACCTCCAACAGGGGGCAGAACTGCACCAGCTTTCCCTTTAAATTGATGAATTTGTAAAAGATAAGACTATAGAAGCATCCATCTAATCAAATGCTGTTTGGTGTTCCAGCTACGCTGCAGAAAGACTAAAGGACTGTGGTCAGTCAACACCTTAATCCAGTTGTTCCCAAACATGGTCCTGGACTAACCCCAACAGTACATACAGTGGGTATAGAAAAGAATCACCCCCCTTTAAAATAATCACATTTTGTTGCTTTGCAGCCTGAAATGAAGACAGACACAGTTTTTAATTTATCCAGCTGTATTTACTCAGTGCAACTTATAACATCCAAGTGAAAGATAGAACACCAACATGTCAGAAAAAAAAATGTAAAAAAATGAATCAATGAGTTGGAAAAAGGATCACCCCCTTGTATTAGTATTTTGTTGAACGACTTTTAGCTTTAATTACAGCCTTTAGTCTGTTGGGATTTGTCTCTGTCTCTAACTTTGCACATCTAGACTTTGCAATATTTGCCCACTCTTCTTTGCAGAACTGCTCAAGTTCAGTTAAATTTGATGGTGAGCGTTTGTGGACTGCAGTCTTCAAGTCATTCCACGGATTTTCAGTGGGGTTTAAGTCTGGGCTCTGACTTGACCATGCAAGGACATTCACCTTTTTCTTCTTCAACCACTGTGTGCTCAGTTTTGCTGTGTGCTTTGGGTCATTTGTCATGTTGGAAGGTAAACCTTCTTGCCATTGACAACTTTCTGACAGAGCAGAGGGCAGCAGATTTTCCTCATGAATTTGAGGGTATTTTGCCCCATCCATTTTTCCTTCTATCATGACAAGTTTTCCAGTCCCTGCTGCAGAAAAACACCCCATAACAGGATATCACCACCTCCATGCTTTAATGCAGGAATGCTGTTATTTGGATGGTGAGCTGTATTGGATTTCTGCCTGGACTTTCTTGAGGAGTGGCTTTTTTTTCTTGCAACCCTCTCAAGGTGCGTTTTGGCAAAGCTCAGTCGTGACTGCATGTGGCCTCCCTCGAGGAGTGGCTTTTTTCTTGCTACCTCCCATACAAGCCACATTTGTGGAGAATTTGTGATATTGTTGTCTCATGCACACAATGACCACTCTTTGTCATAAATTCCTGCAATTACTTCAGAGTTGCTGTAAGCCTCTTGGTCGCCTCTCTGACCGGTTTCCTCCTGGCTGTTTCATCCAGTTTGGAGCAACGTCCTGATCAAGGGAGGGTCTGTGCCGTACCAAATACATTCCACTTCTTAATAATAGACTTCACTGTGCTTCTAGGCATTGATAAAGTATTTTAAAATGTGTTGTATCCATCTCCTGACTTGTGCCTGTCCACAACTTTATCCCAAAGATCTTTTGACAGTGCCTTGCCACCCATAGTTGATGGTTTGCTTCAGTTGCACTACCAAGGACTGAAATGCTCCAGGAAAGCTGTTTTCATGCTGAGCTAAATAAAAAATGACCACAGCTGATCACAGTTGAAAGTCAAATGGTTTGTGTGCCATTGAGAAGGTGATTAGCTACACCTGATTGAGTTTACAAGTCATTTTTAGGAGGGGGTGATTCTTTTTCCAACTCATTTTTAATTTTTTCTGACATGTTGGTGTTATATCTTTCACTTGGATGTTATAAGCTGCAATATAAAACAAAAACTGTGTCCGTCTTCATTTCAGGCTGCAAAGCAACAAAATGTGATTATTTTAAAGTGGGGTGATCTTTCATCTCTCATCTGACAACCATTTCAGAGGTGCGTCTGAAATTGTGTACTGTTTGAGTAGGTACTACATTTTTATTTGCGACCATTAAAAAAAGTGTGTTCTATGTAGTATAGATATGAAGGAAATTTGGACTTACTACATCCGTCATGTTGTTACTATCACGTGACCTGCCAGTGTCAGTTGCATCGTTTCACTTCCATTCATAAATCCTCTCCTGTGGACTTCTTTGCTCAAGAGTGCATGCTTTTCAGGACTAACCCTGTATGGATGTTGCTTTACTGGAGCAGCACCTGAAACATTACCATCATGCAAAACAACATTAGTTCATTTTAGGCACATCTGGAAATAATGGTACATAAGAGCTAATCAGCTGTAAGAGCAGACCTTTCAGTCTGGGGCAAATAAGAAAAGAGTGCTTCAACATAAAAAAAGAACCAGAAAATCTGAAATACACAGTTGGAGGATCTCTGAAGAGAAGATTATGAAGTTGGTGCAGAAGGTTCTGAAAATTTGCTGTTTCCAAAGTTCTCAAATTCCTTCTTGCAGAGCTTCCTTGTTTCTCTTTTCACAACCTTTCTTGCTCAACAATCCACAACACTTTACTAGAAAGATTGACAGCCTTGTTTATTCCTCTTGAGAAGGAGGAATTTGCAAATTGGCGACTTTCCAATCCAGCACTGTGGTTGGCTGTGGTCTGGTGTGAGGTTTATTTGCATAACTTAAAGTTCACAGTCAGAACAGTGACTTCATGGTTTTTCCTATGCATAATTCACTTTTCAAACCAATTTCAGATTAACCTAGACATGAACACAGAGTCCAAATGTGATTGTGTAATGTTGGACATTCACTCACTCATTAAGCACTCATTACGCACATACAGTTTTATAAATAGATGGAGAAGATTTGCTCCATTTTGTCCATTTTATGTCCATGGAAGTATGCATGTGAAGATCTGTCCTTTGATGGAAGCATGATTCAGTTACAGAAGCAAGATGGGAACAAAAATTCCCATGACCCACTTTTCCACCTGAAGGGTGAGGCAAAATCCAGGAGCTTCTTTAAACAGGTTGTTAGTAAACGGATTGATGGCTCAATCGGACTGAAAAGCCTTCATGTAAACATCTTAATTGATCCGATTGAGCTCTATTCAAATGAAATAACGATCGGATTGGAAGGGGTGCTGTAGACCTTCTCTAATCCAATTGAGAGGACATATAAACACTTGATCAGACTGAAAACCGAAAACGGGAAAATATTGCAAACGTGCAATGACATTAAAATGCCGCAATGACATATGAGACTTGGAACGAGCTGTTGTTTTTGTAGAATGAAGTGTCATAATGGGTGGTTTTACTGCTTGATAAATATAAGCAGCATGGCACAAGGCTTCACATGCTCGTTGTCTCCTAATTAGGATTCGAAAAAGATAAATATTAAGTCTGCTCTTTAAAACAAAGAAAAGAAGCAATGAGAGGAGAACAGTATGTGGAAACTATGGGAAACTGTATATTTGTGCAATGTGTGCATGCCAAAAGATCAAATCCAATATTGAAGCTTGTGACATATAAACGTGCACATCGACCTGATCACTTTATTTAGCATTCATGTAAATGCTATGACTGTGACTCTGTAGTGTGACATCCACAAAATCACCTTGAGTAGAACAAGTGGTGTTGGGCATTGAAGTCTACATTAATTCTATGCCAGGGGTGTCCAATTCTGTTCCTGGAGGACCACTCTTCTGCAGAGTTTAGCTGCAACCCTAATTAAACACACCTGAACCAGCTAATCAAAGTATTCAGACTCACTAGAAATGAAGCCACTTAACGTAAGCCTCCAGGGTTAGCAAAGAAAAGCGTAACACTGGTGCATAAGGAAGGATGTTTTTAACGGATATCAGTAGAGGAGAGGCTTCACTACACTAAATAAACTGCTTTTGTGGGAAAACAATGTGGGAAAAGTATTTAATGAATCAACAGCTTATTTGGCAAATTTTCAACATGTTTGTGATGTGATTGATTATCAAGGCACACGTGATGCAAGTTGATGGTTACACTTTCTCCAGTAATATAATTAGAACCACAGACC